AAAACTGAAACTTTTAAAACTGAACTTGAAACCATTAAGAATAATTTTACAATAATTCACATAAATATAAGAAGCATAAATAAAAATTTTGAAAAACTTAAGCACTTCCTAATCGATTGTAATTATTTATTCAGTATGATTTGTCTAACAGAAACATTCCAAAATAACCCTAACTTTCAAATTTCCAATTTTAAATTAATATCTTCTGAAGGAAAAACATGCAAAAAGGTAGGGGGGGGGGGGATTGCAACATGTTTGGAATGACCAAGCAATAAAAGTAAGAAAAGACCACTCCATTTCTAATCCCGATAGTGAGGTCTTTACGATAGAAATCATAAATTCCAAGTTCAAAAATACCATAGTTTCTACCTGTTATAGACCACCTGTAGGTAATATTAAAACTTTTTCTAATTATCTAGAAGAAATTTTTCTCAAAATCAATAAAGAACAAAAAAACTTATTCTGTATTGGGGACCTCAACATAGGTTGTTCAAAATACACTGAGTTTCCGATTACTAAATTATTTTTTCAAAACATGTTTCAACACTGTATTTTACCAATTATTATTGCGAAAACTCTAAAAACAACAAAAAAAAAAAACAAAGTATGGTAAAAGGGTTTACATTTTTTAAAGAAAACTTTTAATGAAGTTCAATTGAAAATATTCCAGACTCATCCTCCTTTAATAAGTTGTTGGACAAAAAAGTTGTTCAGGATTTTTTAAATATAAATAAAGGTTTTAACTTATTATCAGATTTGTTTTACCTTAAAACATAAAAATAAATTGGAGGCAGCCGCCGTCTGCTGCGCAAGAAAAGTCTAGAATTTGAAGATTTGTAGAATTTGAAGATTTTGTTAATTTACATTTTAATACTAGTTTTGTATGAGCACCAATAGGTTTATGGTTCAAATTCCAATCTAAAAAATTGGCTGCAAAAATGTCATTTTTGAATTTTTTTATTCTAGCTGTTGTGTACACTATTGAATCAATACTTATAGTCATTTCTTCTTATAACTTTCCTGAAAAATGTTTACATGGGAAAAAGTTCCAATGAATCGTCCTACCTAGCTACCATCCTACCTAGCTACGGTCATCGCAAGCGCTTTCATCGTGAAATGGACAACAACTGCCTAGTTCGCTATAATTCCTTTAACAACCGCGTCGCTCACCCATGGAACGCATTATCTAACGTAGTAGTCAGTGCTACCAGTGTCGATCGCTTCAAAGCAAAATTCGATCAGCTTTAATAATTACTGCAGCGCATCATCTTCCGTGCAATTTTGCACGAGCTAGCACGGCTAGCTGTTGATGGGCTTACGGAACACGCCCGCTCCGCATAATTTAACTTTAAGCTAAAAAAAAATCGCTAAATCAAATTATACGAGATGTCTAAGCTGTATACATGTTGAAAGAAGGGCTCTAAGTATTGAAATAGGATCAGCTGTTCTAAATTCTATGATAGCAACGCTTTTTAAATAACTTTTTTTTATGAGTTTGGAATGATATTTAGTAATGATGGACAAAATTGTAGTTTATGTAAGGACACCAAACAAGTCTCGGAAGCAGAAAAGCAATGTAACTATTAAACAAAATCGAGAGAAAAAAAAATGCTATTAGAAATATAAAATAGGTTTCCGTGAGAAACAGGAGAACATTTGGTGAATGTCAGAAGTAGACGTAGATTAAAATATTACTTAGTGTTTCAAAAATACTAAACTATTGTAAAGTATTTTTGAAAGATTTTGTGCCCTTAAATTACCCCGATATTTTATCGAGTTTTAGACCCAACTTAAACCTTATAGTCCACGACGCAATGACACATAATATATCACCAGTCAAAATTTCAATCATAAATTATGAGCGGTTGCTGAATCTTTGTCGCGCTTTACCTCATTTTTTTGATTTACATTTTTTTTTTTCTAATTACTGTGCACTACCACCTCAAAAAGCTTTTAGTTCAATGTTTTACGCAAATTGCACATCAAAAGAGTCAATAATAAAAGTTATCAATTCCATTTTAAATGAAACTTAATATTTAAAAATTTTCTTCAAATAATTTTACTATTAAGGGGCAACTACCCTCACATTTTTTAAAAATTTGATTTTTTTTTTTTTTAATAATTTTAGACCAAAATTTTATGCAGATTTTGAATCTGCAAAAAAAATCAAACATTTTTTTATAAATTTTTGTTTAATTTATGTTTTTTTGAACTCAAGAAAAAAATATTTGCATAGCAACGCGTTGCTATGGGGGCGAATATTTTGTTTGTGAACATATCCTAGAGTACTGTTTCAAATATATGCTTTGATTTATATCTTCTTTGCTAATTAATATTCTGTTCCTTATTATATGCCATTTACAATTGCTACTTTAATACGATTTTATCAAGTTATCAAAGCTAATTTATATAACAGCAGAAATTAAAAAATATGACAAAACCTACTGATTTGGGTGTTATTTTGAACAAAAATATTAATGATAGAGTAAAGCAGAGAACAAATTACTATAAAAAAAGAAGAGGATTTATGATGAAGAAAAATAAAAATGCATGTAATGTAAGTGAATGTGACTCTATTGAAAGAAATATTTTGGGCGCATCAGCTAAAAAAGTAAAAGTTGTTACAAATGTACCAAGTAAAAACATTAAAAGAATTACTGGTTACAGAATTATAGACACTGAAATTTTATCTAAAGTTCTTTCATTGTTAATGTGTCCTCAATGTGAAAAGTGTGCACTGTACTTAGGTGATCATCAGAAAAAAAAGAAAGGTCTAACAACGTTGCTATATTTAAAGTGTACTACACTATCTTGTGACTATAAACATGAATTTTATACATCAGTTGCTTGTGATAAAGGGTTTGATATTAACAACAGGACAATATATGCAATGAGAGTCTTAGGCCATGGTCATTCTGGCATTGAAAATTTTACTCAGCTCATGAATATGCCAAAACCCATGACACCCAAAAACTATTCAAAAATTACAACTAAAATAAAAAACATCGTGAAAAGTGTTGCAAACGAAACAATGTCAGATGCTGCAACTGAAATGAAAGAAAATGCAACTAGTGAGGATATTGTTGATGTTGGTGTATCATGCGATGGATCATGGCAGAAAAGAGGATATCAGTCAATGAATGGAGTTTTTACCGCAATTTTAATAGATAGTGGAAAAATAATTGATGTTGAACCTATGAATAAATCATGTAAAGCTTGCTGTATGAAAGAACAATTAAAAAAATCAAATCCTGATGCATATGCTAATTGGAAAAACAAACATATTTGCCGGTACAATTATCAAGGTACAGCTGGTGGTATGGAATCAGTTGGCGCAGTGAGAGTTTTTAAACGCTCCATCGAAAAACATAAGTTAAGATATACTCAATTTCTTGGTGATGGGGATAGTAAATCCCATCTTTCTATCAAAGATATATACCCAAATATGGAGGTAAAAAAGTTGGAGTGTTTAGGACATTACCAAAAACGAGTTGGTACTCGCTTACGCAAGTTAAAAAAAAATGTTAAGGGTCTAGGTGGTCGTGGTCGACTAACCAATGCAGTTATTGATCGCTTGCAAAATTTTTTTTGGTGTAGCTATCCGGAGCAATACAAATGATCTGAATAAAATGAAACAAGCAGTATTAGCTAGCCTTTTCCATGTAGCTTCTTCTAAGGAAAATAACTATCATATTTACTGCCCGACTGGAGGTGATAGTTGGTGTAAGTTTAACATTGATAAAGCAAAGTCTACTTCCATATACAAACCTGGACCAGGAATTCCTGTGGATATTATTCACAAAATCAAGCCAATATATGCTGATTTAAGTAAAGATTCTGAATTAGTAAAGTGTCTTCATGGCAAAACCCAGAATTGCAACGAGAGTTTTAATAATTTAATATGGGATAGATTACCAAAAAGTAATTATGTTGGTTTAGACAGTTTAGAGTTTGGAGTGTACGATGCTGTTGCAAATTATAACATCGGTATGAAGTCTGTCATTTTAATTTATGAAAAACTAAATATGAAACCAGGGCATTTTACTTTAGCTGGTTGCAGACTCATAAACAAAAAACGAATAAAACTATCATTATTTAAATCGAGTGAAAGTTTTAAGATGAAACGAAAGATGTTACGACGTCAACGATTATCAAATGATCATCAAAAGTCAATAGAAAAGTCCAAGGAATATTATGAATCTGGTAGTTTTTGAAATATTCTTTTAAAAAGCTATTTTTTTAAAGATATTTTTATGAAATGAACAATAATTTATGATTTTATTTTTTGTTTTGTGTTTTCTGAGAATTTAATTTTTAAACACGCCGGGAAAAAAATCTTGAAAAGTATACATGCTATCATGATGAAATTTTCAGGGATCGTTCATTTTACCAATGTTTATGATATGAGCGGAGTAGAATTTCTCATATGACTTAAGATTTTGAGTTTTTTAGTTTTTTTCTTTGTATTTTGACCTTATTTTTAATAATCTAATTTGACTAGCTTTTTATCAAAAAAAATTTTTTATTTAAAAATCTGCTTCGCTCATATCACAAATTTACATATTTAGAACAGTTCTACAAAATTTCATTGCCACTCCTTTACTCATAATTCTTATTTTTTTTACGGCGTAAACACAGTTTTTGTGGGTTTTTTTTAGCTATTTTTTTGAGTTGCCATAGCAACGAGCTACCATTTTATGTATTTTTTGGTATTTTTAATGTCAGTATAATATTTACTATATGACTAAAGTAAAAGTTACTTTATATGTGTTGTTTTGAAATTTGAGGGTAGTTGCCCCTTAAAATTAGGTTTTCTATTTTTGTTTATATTTCTTTTCTAGAACTGCCGGTTTTTTTCTTCAATTATTTTGTTTTTGATTTTTAATATCTTTTACAATTACACTCTTGTTTGATAGCAGTTATTTATAATTTCATTATATTTTACGATTTTTTATATATACTGAAAATCCTACATAAACATTCGCGAATAAATAAGATGGTTGAACGTAAATTCCTATTATTATATTTACTATTATAAAATAATGACGTAATACTAAATGTAACATTCTACTAATGACTAACGCAACTAATAAAATTTTATATACAATACAAAAAACACAACAAATAAAAATTGTAATAAATATTTACAGGCTCTTTTGAGAGATATACCCGAAATCTAAACTTAAAACAAAACAAACAGAAAATCGTGAGCTCTCTTTTTTAAAAGCATGTTTTTTTTTATATATATTTTGCAACCAGAGTTAAGCCTTTTATTACAACAGTTGCAACTTTTTGCGAGGCAGCTGGACTTCTCGGAAGTTTTTAAAATTTTTAAACTTATACAGTGACGTGGAAAGGTGAGCCAGGAATGTGTCTATCTCCCCATAATATTCTGATGATATAATCTCCTTCTTCGACTAAAGTATAGTTTATACTATAAATGTTACTTCCAGTATGAATAACATGAATTTCTTTTGCAGGAACCACCGGTCCTTCGACACCAACCATTATCGATCCACGGCCGGCATTACTTGCGTCAACAGTAAATGTTGCTGGCTTTCCTACATTAGCGCGATGTAAACCAGATCCGTTAGAAGTACACTTACTAGCATCACCGAAAACGGCATCGATTTCATCTTCAGACTCTACGATTCTTACTTTGTAAGGGCTATTTGGTATATGCTGTCCAGCAAAACGAATACTTATTTCGTATGTTCCACAGACAGTTGGGTTATATATAACTTTGTATGTTCCATCGTCTTGTTCAACGCAATTCATTTTAACTTTAGCTGGTCCATCTATCGATAAAGCTAAAGCACCAGAGCCTGCGTCTAAAGCGTTTACAGTAAACTCTGCAGGTTTTGAAGAAACTCCTCCCTTGAGACCTTGTCCGTGTGCAGTAACTTTACTCGGATCGCCTTCAAGTCCACCAACTCGAACAGTAAAAGGTGATCCAGGTATGTGTTGACCGTCCAAATATACACTGACTAAATGATCGCCAAGTTCACGTGGTACAAAACGAACAGCATAGTTTCCTGATAAGAAAATAAATAAAAGTATTTTAAACAAAAACAGGAGACATCTCTGAGACCCGTAAAAGATAAAGATATGAGATGTTTTAAAGATATATTTACCTAGTAAAATACCTAGTAAAATATATGTTTTAAAGATATATTTACCTAGTAAAAATAATAATAATGTATAACTACCATTAAGCTAAAAATAAACTGTAGTTGTAGAATCGTTACACTTACCTTCTTCTAATTCAGCAACATTGCAATCAATCTGAACATTAGATGGAGACTCTACAGATGCGCTGATTTTACCTTTTTTTCCTTTCATTTGAACTGCAAAACTGGCTTGCTGGCCTACTCTTAAAACTTGGTCTTTAAAACTTTCCATTGGCATAGTTTTACCTTGGTTTGCAGGTAATATGAAAACCTAGAAGATTTTATATATATATATATATATATATATATATATATATATATATATATATATATATATATATATATATATATATATATATATATATATATATATATATACACATATATATATATATATACATATATATATATATATATATATATATATATATATATATATATATATATTATATATACACACACACTCCACACATACACCCATATATATGTATGTATTTCACATATATTTACAGAAATAATTTACACAAACTTCAACTTAAAAATATATATTTAACAAAAATGCTGCTGTAACCTTTGATGGACTTCCTGGAATAGCTTCATCGGCAAAACGTATGTGCACAGTATATTCACCTGTCTCTACAGGATACCAAGTTATATCACAAGAGCCATCTCCATTATCATTACACTGAATTTCAGCTTTAGCAGGGCCTTCAACAGCAACAGCAAGTCCACCTGGTCCTGCATCTCTGGTAATTACAGTAAATTTACAAGGTTGTCCAGCAATACCACCTTCAAGCCCAGGTCCATGAGCTTTGCAGGCTGGTGCACCACCTGATGGAGCTTCAACAAGAACTTTGAACGGACTACCAGGAATATGCCTGCGTCTACTTCTGACATTCACCAAATGTTCTCCTGTTTCTCGGGGAACAAAGCGCACTGTGTATGTATCTACTGCGGTTTCAATAACTTCTGCATCATCCTCTGTTCCAGATGGTCGGGTGACAGTAGCTTTTAAATCACCAGTACCAGAAAATTTAATAACAAAATCTTTAGGTGAACGTGATTTACTGCTTGGAAAAGCTAACATATCACTAAACATGTCATCAGGTGTTGACTGAACTTCATCACTATGAACAACTTTTATTTCTTCTCCTATAGAACCACCAACCCTACATTTAAATGGAGAACCAGGAACATGATCATCAGCATATGTAACATTAATCAAATAAGTGCCAGGCTCTGAAGGTGTGTAGTCTACAGAACAGGTTCCATCATCATTATCAACACAATTAATATCAACTTTTGAAGGTCCTTCAATGGATAGACTAAGTCCTCCATAGCCAGCATCCCGAGTGTCTACATTAAAAGTTGCTTTCTCTTTTGGATGTCCATGTCGTAGACCTTTTTCAAAAATATGTTTATGATTACTTATATTAATAATTTATACACATGCATATTAAAATACAAACATATTAAAGGATTTAACAATATAAAATTTTAACAAAAAGTACATTGAAAAAAAAAAGTTAAAAAAGTTAATGACAGACAAAAAATTTGAAAAAATAAATACCTCTTCCAGTACATTTGACTTTAGATGCATCTGGTTTTGCAAATGCTATATCTTCAGGCTTGACCATAACTTCATAAGGACTAGCACCAACATGCTTGTTATTCATTTTTATATGAATATAATGCAAACCTGATTCTTTTGGTAAGAAAGATATTACAATGGTATTTTTTTCACCAGCTTGCAATTGCAGTGGTTCTTCAGAACCATTTGGTGCAACAACTGAGCCTTTTAATTTTTTTAGATCATCAGGTAAGCTTATTCCTGGTATTACAAATCCAACATCACAAGTAGGCTTTTTCTTACCTGCACCAACCATTATTTCAATTGGACTTCCATCAATATGTTTTCCATTACGCTTAATAGAAACTTTGTGAAGACCTGGTTCAGATGGAAGAAAGTTTACAACGATATGATTAGTTGAATTTAACTTCAATTCAATTGGTTCCTCTTGATTATTAGGTCGGGTCAATGTGCCTTTTAAAAAGCGTAGATCTTCTGGTTTAACTATTAATTGTGAACTTAAGTCAACAGGATTTCCTACAACTGGTTCTTGAGCAGATGTTTGCGGTTCTTCAACAGTAATAACAAATGGCGATTTAGAAACATGTTTTCCGTGCTTTTTAATTGAAATAACATGTGGCCCTGCCTTCTCTGGAACAAAAATAACACCAATTGTGTTATTTTTATTTAATACAAGTTCAAGAGGTTCTTCTGTGTGATGATCAGGTCGTTTTAAGGATCCAACTAAACTAGAAAAGTCTTCTGGTAATTTTATATCATCTATTGCTATATTTACTAGGCACTCACTTCCTACAGTCAAAGCTTTACACGCGTCTTCATCAGCAAATACCTTAACAATAAAGGGACTTCCTTTAACATGATGCCCATTCTTAAACACATCAATTATATGATCACCTGATTCTTTGGGTGTAAATTCAAATGCAAGACTTTTATCTGGTTTAGAAGAAAATTTAATGGGTTCTTGGATTCCATTTGGTCTTGTAAGCTTAGCAGTAAGACTTGATAAGTCATTTGGCAAAACAATATCTGGTGTAGAAAATTCTACATCACACTTGTGCCCAACTGTAGGATGCTTGGGCCGACTAATATCTTCAACAATAACTTCAAAAGGACTTCCTTTAACTGGGATACCATGTTTTTTTACAGACAATAAGTGCTTACCAGGTTCATCTGGAGTGAAAGAAAGAGCAAGCAAATTATCAGGCGAAACACCACATATTACAGGTTCCTTTTTACCAGAAGGACGAGTTAGTTCTGCTGTGAGATTTTTGAGATCTGATGGCAATTTAACATCATCAATAGCTAAATTAACATCACAAGATGAACCAACCATTGGTTTATTGTCATCAGGATGATCAACAAATACTTCAAAAGGACTGCCTTTGACTGGACGACCACTCTTCTTAACATCAACTAAGTGCTTGCCAACTTCAGTTGGTGTAAAGTCCAATACCAAACTGCCATCAGGTGCTGCTTTGCATTTTATAGGCTCTTTTTTACCAGATGGTTTGGTCAGTTCAGCTGTCAACTTAGCAAGATCCTCTGGAAGTTTGACATCATCAATCACTTTCTTCAAACCACAAGGTGAACCAACTTTAGGTTTTTCATGATCAGGATGATCAACAAATATTTCAAAAGGACTTCCTTTGACAGGTCGACCATTCTTTTTCACTTCAATAAGATGTTTACCGACTTCAGTTGGTGTAAAGTCCAATGCCAAACTGCCATCTGGTGCCATTTTACATTTTATAGGCTCTTTCTTACCAGATGGTCTAGTTAACTCAGCACTCAACTTATCAAGATCTTCTGGAAGATGAACATCGTCAATAGCTAAATTAACATCACATGGTGAACCCACTTTTGGCTTATCTCCATCAGCATGATCAACAATAACTTCAAAAGGACTGCCTTTGACTGGACGACCACTCTTCTTAACATCAACTAAGTGCTTGCCAACTTCAGTTGGTGTAAAGTCCAATACCAAACTGCCATCAGGTGCTGCTTTGCATTTTATAGGCTCTTTTTTACCAGATGGTTTGGTCAGTTCAGCTGTCAACTTAGCAAGATCCTCTGGAAGTTTGACATCATCAATCACTTTCTTCAAACCACAAGGTGAACCAACTTTAGGTTTTTCATGATCAGGATGATCAACAAATATTTCAAAAGGACTTCCTTTGACAGGTCGACCATTCTTTTTCACTTCAATAAGATGTTTACCAACTTCAGTTGGTGTAAAGTCCAATGCCAAACTGCCATCTGGTGCCATTTTACATTTTATAGGCTCTTTCTTACCAGATGGTCTAGTTAACTCAGCACTCAACTTATCAAGATCTTCTGGAAGATGAACATCGTCAATAGCTAAATTAACATCACATGGTGAACCCACTTTTGGCTTATCTCCATCAGCATGATCAACAATAACTTCAAAAGGACTGCCTTTGACTGGACGACCACTCTTCTTAACATCAACTAAGTGCTTGCCAACTTCAGTTGGTGTAAAGTCCAATACCAAACTGCCATCAGGTGCTGCTTTGCATTTTATAGGCTCTTTTTTACCAGATGGTTTGGTCAGTTCAGCTGTCAACTTAACAAGATCCTCTGGAAGTTTGACATCATCAATCACTTTCTTCAAACCACAGGGTGAACCAACTTTAGGTTTTTCATCATCAGGATGATCAACAAATATTTCAAAAGGACTTCCTTTGACAGGTCGACCATTCTTTTTCACGTCAATAAGGTGCTTACCGACTTCAGTTGGTGTAAAGTCCAATGCCAAACTGCCATCTGGTGCCATTTTACATTTTATAGGCTCTTTCTTACCAGATGGTCTAGTTAACTCAGCACTCAACTTATCAAGATCTTCTGGAAGATGAACATCGTCAATAGCTAAATTAACATCACATGGTGAACCCACTTTTGGCTTATCTCCATCAGCATGATCAACAATAACTTCAAAAGGACTGCCTTTGACTGGACGACCACTCTTCTTAACATCAACTAAGTGCTTGCCAACTTCAGTTGGTGTAAAGTCCAATACCAAACTACCATCAGGTGCTGCTTTGCATTTTATAGGCTCTTTTTTACCAGATGGTTTGGTCAGTTCAGCTGTCAACTTAGCAAGATCCTCTGGAAGTTTGACATCATCAATCACTTTCTTCAAACCACAGGGTGAACCAACTTTAGGTTTTTCATCATCAGGATGATCAACAAATATTTCAAAAGGACTTCCTTTGACAGGTTGACCATTCTTTTTCACTTCAATAAGATGTTTACCGACTTCAGTTGGTGTAAAGTCTAATGCCAAACTGCCATCTGGTGCCATTTTACATTTAATAGGCTCTTTCTTACCAGATGGTCTAGTTAACTCAGCACTCAACTTATCAAGATCTTCTGGAAGATGAACATCGTCAATAGCTAAATTAACATCACATGGTGAACCCACTTTTGGCTTATCTCCATCAGCATGATCAACAATAACTTCAAAAGGACTGCCTTTGACTGGACGACCACTCTTCTTAACATCAATTAAATGCTTGCCAACTTCAGTTGGTGTAAAGTCCAATACCAAACTGCCATCAGGTGCTGCTTTGCATTTTATAGGCTCTTTTTTACCAGATGGTTTGGTCAGTTCAGCTGTCAACTTAGCAAGATCCTCTGGAAGTTTGACATCATCAATCACTTTCTTCAAACCACAGGGTGAACCAACTTTAGGTTTTTCATCATCAGGATGATCAACAAATATTTCAAAAGGACTTCCTTTGACAGGTCGACCATTCTTTTTCACTTCAATAAGATGTTTACCGACTTCAGTTGGCGTAAAGTCCAATGCCAAACTGCCATCTGGTGCCATTTTACATTTGATAGGCTCTTTCTTACCAGATGGTCTAGTTAACTCAGCACTCAACTTATCAAGATCTTCTGGAAGATGGACATCATCAATAGCTAAATTAACTTCACATGGTGAACCCACTTTTGGCTTATCTTCATCAGCATTATCAATAATTACTTCAAAAGGACTGCCTTTTACTGGACGGCCACTTTTCTTAACATCAATTAAATGCTTGCCAACTTCAGTTGGTGTAAAGTCCAATACCAAACTTCCATCAGGTGCTGCTTTGCATTTTATAGGCTCTTTTTTACCAGATGGTTTGGTCAGTTCAGCTGTCAACTTAGCAAGATCCTCTGGAAGTTTGACATCGTCAATCACTTTCTTTAAACCACAAGGTGAACCAACTTTAGGTTTTTCATCATCAGGATGATCAACAAGTATTTCAAACGGACTTCCTTTGACTGGACGACCACTCTTTTTCACATCAACTAAATGCTTACCGACTTCAGTTGGTGTAAAGTCCAATAACAAACTGCCATCAGGTGCTGCTTTGCATTTTATGGGCTCTTTTTTACCAGATGGTTTGGTCAATTCAGCTGTCAACTTAGCAAGATCCTCTGGAAGTTTTACATCATCAATTACTTTATTTAACCCACAAGGTGAACCTGCTTTTGGCTTTTTGTCACGTGCTTTTTTACTGTTGTCAGGTTCATCATCTTCTACCATAATTTCAAATGGACTGCCAGCTACTGGAAGCTTGTTCTTTTTCACACTTATTAAATGTTTTCCAGGCTCATAAGGTGTCCAACTTAGTGCTAATGATCCATTTTCTCCCATTTCACAAGGGATAGTTTCTTTTGATCCACTTGGTCTATATAACTTTGCTTTTAGCTTATCCAAATCATCAGGCAACTTGATACCATCTATACTCAAGTCAACATCACAGGGGGAGCCTACAGTAGGACCTTTTTCATGAGGTACAGAAGCTTCATTTACATAGATTTCAAAAGGACTGCCTTTAACGGGAACTTTATTTTTCTCAAGATCGATTTTATGTAATCCAGATTCATCAGGTATAAAAGACAAAGCAAGTGAACCTTCACTATCCATACCACATTTAATTGGTTCTCGTTTACCAGAAGGTCTAGTTAGATGAGCTTTAAGTTTATCAAGATCATCAGGCAATTTTACATCATCTAAATTCATTGATATATCACAAGGAGAGCCAACAGTAGGACTATCAGTTAAATTTTCAGAACACTCTACATCTTTTTCTATAACTGGAACAATATCATCATCGTCTGTTAAAGGACTCTTTTTATGCTTTTTTGCTGGTCCAACTGCCACTAAAAATGGACTTCCTGGTACTGGTGTTCCTTTTTTTTTAATATCAATGAAGTGATCACCAGGTATTTTAGGAGTAAAATCAACAGCTAGAGTTTTATTTGGACCTTCTTTACATTTCAGAGGCTTTTTTTTACCATTTGGATCAGTTAATTCAGCTTCTAGATATTTTAAATCCTGAGGTAAATTCAAATCTGGAATAGCTAGGTTAACACCACACTCTTGTCCAACTTCAGCTCCTGGACTATCAACAATAATTTTAAATGGACTTCCTTCAATTGGTTTTCCTTTTTTGTTAACATGCAAAAGATGCTCTCCAGTTTCTTCAGGTTTAAAAATGGCACTAAGCTTATCATCAATTACTTTTAATTTAACAGGCTCGCGCTTTCCACTAGGACGTTGAAGTTCTCCCTTTAAATCGGGCAAATCACGAGGTAAGTCAAGGTTAGGTGTGTTTAACTTTTTGACACATTCTTCACCAACCTTTGGATTAGTTTCAGCTTCTTCAACAAGTATCGTGAAAGGGCTGTCTTTGACATGTTTTCCTCGCTTTTTAATTCCAATTAAATGCTCACCAGGTTCATTTGGTATAAAATTGAACACAAGTGCTCCTTTTTCATCAACACTCAATGGAAGAGGTTCAGTTTTATGATTTGGACGAGTAAGTTCCCCAGAAAGCAGATCCAAGTCTTTTTGTAAATCAAGTTCAGGAATTACAAAAGAAGCATCACAAACAGATCCAACTGTTGGCGCTTTTGGCTCGTCAATAACAATGATAGAGAATGGACTACTGGGAACATGCTTTCCATCTTTTTTAACACTAATTAAATGCTCACCAGCTTCAGTTGGAACAAATGATACACTAATTGACCCATTCTTGCCAAGCTTAACATCAATTGGTTCTTCTTTGCCTGTGGGTCTTCGCAAAGTACCTTTAAGTTTACTAATATCACTGCTTTTACAAGGTTCAGGTAGGTATAATTCTTTATCACAGGGTTTTCCCACTTTTGGATATTTATCAGGTGATCCATCTACCATGACAACAAATGGACTGTCATCAATTTGTTTATTATTTTTAAACACTTTTATAAGATGTTTTCCTGGTTCTTCAGGAACAAAATTAACCGATATAACACCATCTTGAAACTTTTCAATTTTACAAGGCTCCTCCTTACCATTGGGCCTTCGAAGAACTCCTTTTAAGGCAGCTAAATCTTTTGCTGTGTCACAGCCAGTGCATTCTAAGGGTATGCAACTGTCTTTTCCTATAACTGGTTTTTCACGTGCAATAATTGGAATAGGTAAACCACTAATAGGTTTATTTTGTTTTTTAATATTTAAAAGATTCTTTCCAGGCTCTTCAGGAACAAAAGAAGCAAGAATGGAATCTTTTGGTCCTTCTTTAATTTCACAAGGCTTTTCTTTACCAGAAGGCGCTGAGAGTAAACCTTTTAAGTTTGGAACATCCTTGACATTAACTGCATCTGAAGACAAGCAAAGATCTGAGGGGTATCCAACTTCAATTGCTGGTTCATCTTGAACTATAACAGGATGGAAAGGACTACCAGGAACATGATTGTTATCAAACTTAACAATGACATCATATTTGCCTAAAAAAAAAAAATCCTATAATAAAAAAAAACATTGAACAATAGTTTCAAATAAATTAACTATATCAATAAGACATGAACATAAAAAAGAATGTTTCTAAATATTAGTATAACCCAGATCCTTTTTTAAATTTAAATTATTAAAAACTATTCAACTAAATCTTTTAAGTCTCTGTAAAATATCAAATCATGTATCATCCAAAAGTACGGAAAGAAACCAGTCTAGGTTTTCAAAAATTACTTAGTTCTGTTTAAATTTTTTCAAATGAATTAAAAAAAAAATTGTTCAAGTTTGAATGGATATTTATTGGTGGTTTAATTTTGGGGCACACAAACATATTTTAAACAAAAGTTTAATAATTAGAAACAATGATTCTTAAGTTTCATAACTTTATAAATTAAATTTTAATTCATTTGAATTATTTTCATGATTTGTATTTTTTTTTTTTTTTTTTAAATATTTTTTATATTTTTTAATATAAACTTATTAAAATCCTTGTTAAAATGTTAACAATAGGATATTAATGTTAACAAATTTATTTCAATAACATTAATATGCCAAACAATGACAAAAACTAACCTTCTTCAACAGGTATATATGTAACTTCACAGGTGCCATCATGATTATCAACACACTCAATATCAGCTTTACTTGGTCCTTCTACAGCCACCGATAGATCTCCTGGACCAGCATTTTTTGTATCAATAGTAAACCTTGCAGGTACCGCAACAATTCCCTTCTTTGTTCCTTTAAATGATATTATTGCATTGTTAATTAAACAAAGAAAACACCAAAAGCAAAAATGAAAAAAAAAAAAAGATAAACTAATACTTATTTTATTAATAAAAACATTTTAAAATTAATTTTTAGATTTACCTTTGCCATAAACTTTAACTTTTTCAGGTCCTCCTTCAGTAACAGTAAATTCAAATGGGCTCCCTGGAATTGGAATACCATCATATGCAACATGAAGAATATACTTTCCAGTCTCCTTTGGTGTATAATTTAATATAAATGTACCATCTGGATTGTCCTTAACATCAACCTAAAACAAAAATATTGTTTATAACTAAAAAAAATATTCCTTTAAGTTTTCAATACAAAGTCTTTTAAACAAAAAAAACTTTACATTTTTTGACTTAATAAATCATAAAAATAATTTTTTTTTTGGGTCAGAAATAAATAATACAAAATAATAATAATATTATATATATATATATATATATATATATATATATATATATATATATATATATATATATATATATATATATATATATATATATATATATATATATATATATATATATATATATATACACATGTTTCTATACATGTAAGTTTGTAACAAGTGCTACATACCATTAAATTTCAAATTGTTTATTCACTTTATTTTATTTTTTTATTACCTTGTTTGTTATACAAAAATATTAAAAATATTACATAAACAAAAAAATACCTTTTCTTTTTTTCCAGAAGGAGTTATAATCAGTCCTGAGAGCTGAGCTCCTAAGATATCTGGAAGGTCGCAACAATCAACTGGAGCTTCAAACTGTTGTTTAACGCATGGGCCATCTTCTAAAAGTTTTTCTAATACTGGTGTTTTAATATTTTCTAGCGCTGGAGCAGGTGTGGCATTAGCTTTAAATGGTGATCCGCGCACTGGCTCTCCGCCAAACAATACTTCAATTTCATGTGGTCCTAACTCCTCAGGAGTATAATCAACAGCATAGATTCCTTCTTTTTCTTCGACTATATTAACAGGAATGTCTTTTCCATTTGGTCCCTTAGCATTAACATTTACTTTACCCTTTCCTGCTTTTGTTGCATCAACTTCAAAAGGAGCTGGGAAACCAATATGAGGGCGTTTCAAACCTGGTCCAGAACATTTAACTTTTGAAGCATCACCACCACTTGGTTCACCATTTACATTAAATGGAGCTCCGGGCACAGCATCACCACCATACTTTGGTGATACTTGGTAGCGACCTAATAGTTGGTAAAAACATTTAGCTTTAAGAAATGATTATTTTTAAACAAAAAAAAAATAATGAAAATTAAAAAAAATTGATATTTTAAATCAATTCATGTTTAAAAAAAAAAAAAATTTGCTATAACAATTAAAAAATTTACCTTTTTTATCAGGTACATATGAACAATCAAAAGTTCCATCTTTATTATCTTTTATTTGACATGGATATACTTTACCACCTGGTCCGCTAACATCTACTTGAAGTGGTGCTTTGCCTGCTTCTGTTGCGTCGACGGTGAAAACAGCAGGGAAACTAGCAGGTACACCACGAGAGACACCAGCTCCTTTGCATTTAACTTTAGAAGCATCAAAATGCTCCACAGCACTAACTTTAAAAGGGCTGTTTGGTATGTGTACTCCATCAAACATTATATTGACATCGTGTTGACCTTTAAAAATAAAAAATAAATTCTTTTAGATTTTTTAATAACACTCCCTCTTCCTTTTTATCAACATGCCTTCACATCTAAAGTTGCACATCTTCACATATTCAGTGCATCAACAAGCTGATGCATTGGTACACTGCTAATATAGATCTGTCCTTAGAATTAGAAAAAATGAAGCTAACCTCAAACCGTTAGAGGTCAGCATTAGGTTGGAAAAAAAATTGGACTCAAAGAGATTACCATAAAACATAGAGGTCAGCAATATTTTGCTGACCTTAAACATTTTTAGGTCAGTTAGGTTAGATCCTAATTCAGAGGGCTGATAGATTGACACCATATCTATCATAAAAGTTATACTGTGTTGGCTTTTTTTAAAGAAACATTTCATATAGCACTTTTCCCCAATAAATAGACAATTTTTGAGAGAAAAACAGGCAAATAAGAGCTTTAGATGTGATAAGTATTTTTCTTTTTGCTTTAAGTTTTTACAATGTTTAAAAAAACCTTTCTCTTTTTTATACAATTTTCAAAACTATTTTACTGCCCTTGATAGTAAACCTGAAAAACACCATTTTTGAGTCTTTAGATCAAATCTGCTCAACAGCATTAACTTAATTTTAGTTAAAATCCTTTCAAAAAATGAGTTAACCCACTATAGATCCTAGTTCTAATCTGTTCTGATGCATATTAATAAAATATAGTTGTCTAAATACAACATTTCTATCAACTTTATTAAAAAGTTTAAGAATTTCTAGCAAGAAAAAGCTTGTAATAGTATCATCAAACTATGATGTTCTTTTCACTTAAACAACGTATTTATTTAAAATCTTATTCAAATCTGAAATAGTGATTTTTAGGAGAATATAAAAATTAAAAAAAAAAAAAAAAAAAAAAAAAAAAAAAAAAAAAAAAAAAAACAACCTTCGGTCTGGACTTTTTTGCCACAAATATTTTTGTTTTAATGCTATTGCAAAATTTAAAAAATTCATTTTATTTTAATTTTTTCACCTTGTCATAATTAAGTTACCTGTTCATTTAATGGAAATATGTTATAGTCAGCAAAACAATACACAGATTCTTTAACTTTACAGAGTAAAGTTAATTTAATAGTTTTTTTTTTTTTAAATTAGAAATTATAAGTTTAAATTAACTTTCCAAGGATAATTAAAAAAATGACTAGTGAAAAAAGAATAGAAAAGTGAAAATGTAAGTAAAGTTAAACAGTGTAAAGGTGATGTTTTTCCCTGACTGCTGTGGACCATTTTTTGAAATCAAAAGTCAGAAACGCAATGCAATCTTTAGTTTTTGAGTTTTTTTAATTAAATAAATAGGTATATTTAAAAGCGCCTAAAAGGTTTTAGAGTGAAAAAAGTTAAACACTTATAACCATAAGAGCTAAAGAATAACTACAAAAACTCTATTTGTCAATGTTAAACTGTTTTACCTGTTGTAGTTGGAATGTAATTTATAGAAAAGGTGCCATCATTATTATCTTTGCAATCAATTTGTGCTTCTTCTGGTCCTTCGATTGTGAGCCCAAGGTTTCCAGGCCCAGCATTTTTTGTATCAATTGTAAACTCTGCAGGTCTATTTACAAATGCGTTTTTAAGACCTGGACCAAATGCTTTCACTTTAGATGGATCTGGTTTATCCAATGCATTAACAGAAAATGGTGATCCAGGTATTTCATTATTGCCATATTTAACAGTAATCTTATGAGGACCTGGTTCTTTTGGTGTCCATTTTACATCATAACCATTCTTATTGTTCTTAGCAACATTAGCTTTAACAGGTTTTCCTGCTGGAGAGTCAATTGAGCATGAAAGGGTACCTTCTCCAGCTTCAGGTGGACAATCAACAGTAAACTGATTTTCTTGACCACATACAGGTTCTTCAAAAGCTTAATACAAAATCCATATTTTAAAATTAAAAAATTTTAAACAAGATAATGAAACTTATAAAAAACATTTTTAGAACTCAAAGAATTTTTTTTGTAATATTATATAATATTGTATGATACCGTATATGTTTTAATGCTTATAATTACACATACTATTATAGATGTCACTTAAATTTTATCTATCTATCTATCTATCTATCTATCTATCTATCTATATATATATATATATATATATATATATATATATATATATATATATATATATATATATATATATATATATATATATATATATATATATGTAAGCGGGAGTGATCGCTCTTGAATACTGACCACGGAAATTATATTTAGTTACGAAAAACTGGCCAGGTTTTTTAGTCGTTTTGAGAACATTTAAGTTTATGTACAAAACAAAAAGCTTTTGTTTGACGAACATACATGGAAACATAAAAAACTTTCGCACCAAGATGTTCTCAAAACATCTTGGTGCGAAAGAATATAAAGAATATTCGCGAACAATAAAAACCCGCCAAATTAACGAACAAACTAATTCTATTGGTTCAAAAAATACGCTGATTAAGCGAAATAAAATTAAATTATTCACGATTTGTTACGTTTTGAGATTTCTAGCATTGTTTTAAGAATATATATTATTTGTTTACAAAAATAAATGTTTTAAATATATATTAATTAAATTGTCAAAATTTTATTATTAAATTCTTAAAAGTTTATTATAAATTATAGATTTTATTAGTATATTCTTATTTTTTATTTAAAAGGAGATTGTATTCTTTATGTAAATGTAATTTTGTGTATTTGTATCGTTATGTATCTTTTAAAGCAATTTTTATGATTTAAAATAAGACTTACAAAAATAATTGCGTTTTCAATGAAGTTATAATTGTTAAAGTTAATAAAACTAATTATGTAACAAACATATAAGAGGTTTCTGGTTACTAAACACAAACAACACCATACAAAGTAACTTACCAATGAACAAGCACCATGCCTGAGGTCACGGCAGAACACAAATATATATAGCAAATAATTAGATATAAAGAAAAGTTTCTAGATATTGGTTTACTAACTCTAATTATTTTCGCTTAAGCTGCCATTCTTAAAACTCATTATACTTTTTTCTGCTTTAAATACCAATTAAATTTAAAAAGCCCACTCACTAAACATCATCAGCGATATTGTGAAGCAGTTTTGCTTTCTCGTCATAAAGTATTTTTAACCTCTTTAGTTGATTTCTATCTAGCTCTTTTCTAGTTGATAATTTAATTTCTATAATAATTCAATGATTTAATTATTTCATTTGTTCATCTTACTAAGAAGAATTGTTACAAATATGTTAAACTTTTCAAATTACGTGAAACATAAACAAGGTATTAAAAAAATTAACTTTTTTATTTATAAAATAATTTAGCTTAAATGAAACTAAAACTTGCAAACTTTGTTAAACAAAGAATATTTGTTTCCCTTTTAAACAATCGTAAGTTGTTACTTTATATGAAAAAACAAAAAAAAAAATTATAAAAGAGGGATGTTTCGAAAATATTTGTTCTAAGTGTAATTTATTTAGCTTTAAGTTTTTTTGCGTTTAAAGATATTTTATTTGCGTAATTTTTTTTTGTAATTGTCTCTCATCAGTCCAATTATTCTAAAGCCCTTTTTTTTTGCGTTTTTAAATGTTTTCAAAACGACTAAAAAATCTGGACAGCTTTTCACAACTAAATATTATTTACGTGGTCAGCAATCGAGAGCGATCGCTCCCGCTTCCCGACCAAGCCTGTATATATATATATATATATGTGTGTGTGTGCGTGTGTGTGTGTGTGTGTGTATATATGTGTGTGTGTAATTGATTGCTTATTATAAAAATAGAAGTTCTCTTATCAAATGTAACAATTTTTTATTAAGTTATAATTTTAATAAAGTAAAGATGAATAAAAAAAAACATGAAATAAAAATGAAAAAAACATGAAACAAGCAAAAAAAATTTAGTTTTTGGTTTTTCTTTAGCATAGTTAAAACTATAAAAGTCACAAGAAAAAATCATCCATTTTGATTGCAAATATTTTTCTAGAAAATCATTTATAAATATTGTTACCTGCAACTTTACATTTGGAAGCATCACAGCCTGGTGTAGCCAAAATTTTAAATGGACTTTCTGGAACAGGAGCACTAGAAAATGTAACTTTAATAATAAATTCGCCATGTTTAGGTAGAGTATATGTTACAACATAAGTGTTAGGTTTCTTTCCAGGTTTGATTTCAATATCTGAAACTTTAGGCAACTTATTGTCTAAAAATACAATTATTCATAAGAGTAAAAAAAAAAAAGTGTTTTAAAACATTTATTGGAAAATAAAAAGCTAAATACCTGTTGGTGTTATATCTACAACTACATTTCCATCCCCAGCTTCTGAGGCATCTACTTCAAAATATGTTGGTTCCAATGACTTAACACCAGTGGGCTTAATACCAGGTCCAAATACCTTGACCTTAGAAGGATCTGAAGCAGGTCCAACCTTAACAGCAAATGAACTTTTTGGAATTGGTTTTCCACCAAATGTTATGCTGACTTTGTAAGTACCTATTAAATAAAAACACAATTTTATTAACTAAAATAAAAAATGTGTGAAGTATATTGTTTGACTATATTTATGGAGTTCAATTCCCACCATGTCCCTCATAGTACCGCGCTCAACTTGTTTCTCAGCGCAGCAGCATTGTTCATCAAGCTTCATGTTTCAGAGTTATAGACTTGAGAGAGGATTATAACCATAAGTAGCCTCCTCATCTGTAGTGGCCTTCTTGGCCTTGGGGAGGTGAATTACAAATAAGAAAAAATAAAAAAAATTGTTATTTAAAATTAAATTGACCTTCTTTTTCAGGAAGGTAAGATGTTGAAAACACCCCAGGTTCTTCCTCAGTAAGCTTGACAGGTAGGGGTTTTCCAGCTTCATCTGTTACTTCAACAGCTAGTTTTGCTTTTCCAGCTTTTCGAGTATCAACAGTAAAAAGACAAGGTTTCCCACTGCGGTTCCCTGGTTTTAAACCAGGACCATCTGCTATTACCTATAAAAATGTTAAATTAAAAATAGATTTAAAAAACTAATTTGTAATAACTGTTTATCAAGACTTATTTATTTCTAAAAACTATTTTTTAATCTTTTTTTTTTTGGAGTTGATCATAAATTGTCACGCTCAAAGAGAAGGGGAGGCGGGAGATTAGTGGTTTTGTGAGGACTCAGACAGGACTTGTTACTAAAGTGCTACAATGTATACTTTTTGGGGGAAGGGGTAACAAGGGGAGGGGTAAAGGGGTTCAAAAATGGTTGAAAATTGTGTGACATAATTTATGGATGACCCTTTACCTAAAACAGTAAGTAAATAAAAAAATGGACTTAGATTTAGAAAAATTTTTAAGATTATGTTGCACCCTTTTAATTCACAATAGAACCTTTCTGCTATAAGGTTTAAAATATCAGCAGTAAAATAAAAAGATCCAAATCCATATTGATTGTTATTTTTAAAATCAAGATTAGATATTAAACCTCAGTTAATTGAAGACACAAAGACTGTGCTAAAGTAATAAGATTGATAAGGGTAAAAGGTAATCAAATCAAGAAATCTCTAATAAATACTATAAATCTTATTTTCTATAAACCTATAAATCTTATTTTCCTATATATAAATCTATATATATATACTATAAATCTTATTTTCCAGCAGACCAATAAGATTCAGTTAAGCATTGGTTAAACAGTTTAGAGAGTAGTAAAGAGAGTTCACTTTAGTAGATTTATTTTGTAAAGTATGGAATAGAATGTTACTAGAATGTTGTCTGGAAAAGTTGTTGTAAAAAAGTTTGTGAGAAATGGTTTTAGCAATGGAAGTCTATGTGCTTTGGATGTCTAACAATGGATTAACCTGTTTCTCTGGTATGACCCAATAAGTGTGGCATTAGATTAAAGAGATGAATTTGAAGAAAAGCTCTTTGGAAATAGTTTTACTTTATCTTTGGGAGGTGTTTTAAGATCAGGACTTTGTATGAGAGATAAAATTTTAGATTCAACTTTCAGCAGAAAGAAAAAAAAAAAAAAAAAAAAAAAACATCAGTCCAAGGATCATCACAAAGAAGATTAAAAAATAAAAAGAATTCTAGTCAGTTTTAAGCCAGTAGTATAAAGTGAAAGGATATGGCATGTATAATGATGAAATGATGAAATCTAATATGGAAGTACAAAATAAAAGATTCATTAACGTCATAGCATGGTCTCAACCACTAAACTGAGAGCACAAAGAAATTAAGGGTAAGCTAGGGTCAGAGACAAAATACAAATGATGGAGCAAACTTAATTGATTTGAGTTGACTGGAAAATATTTTGTTTAATATTTTTAGGTACTATAGCTGTGATTTAAATTATAAGAGAAAACTTTAATCAAACATAGATAGTACATGACACCCAAAGCAATAAGCCATTGTTAACTCTTGCTTAAAAATTCAAAGCTTTAACTTAACATTAGAGCATTATAAAAAAGACAGAAGTAAAAAAACACAAGCTAAGTCAAAAAACATTCATCATCCTAAACAGGAAAAATGCAACACAGATTTATATCCACATCAGTGTAGGCAAATCTGATAAAAAGATGAAAATCTAAAATCTAAACCAGAATCCCTAAAATCTTTCCTTCAACGCAGTATACTAATGCCATTAACATTTTCTCAAGATGCCATTAACATTAACAAAAAAATTTAAAATTAATTACAAAAAGTAAATTATTCAGCAAGATTACCTTTGAAGCATCAAATTCATCAGATACAACAGCATTGAATGGACTTCCAGGTATGTGTTGATCAGCAAATAAAACATCTATTTTGTAATCTCCATCTTCCACAGGTATATATTCAAAATTGCAAGTTCCGTCACCGTTATCATCGCACTTAAACTTAGCTTCTTTTGGACCTGAAATTTTTACATCAATACCTCCTTCCCCAGCTTTACTTGCATCAATCTTAAATTTGCAAGGTTTGCCACATTTACCCCCTGTAAAAAAAAAGTTGATGAAAATTAATTTTTTTTGCTTTTAGTTGCTTGCAAAGCAAGAAACTTATTTAAATATAAATTACTATAACTGTTAAATTACCTTCTAAACCAGGTCCAGTAGCTTTTACTTTGCTTGGATCACAAAATGGTATGATATTAACAACAATAGGAGATTTGGGTATATCTTCATCCATAAATTGGATTTTAAGAGTGTACTTTCCAGGTGATTTGGGTAAATAAACAACAGTAAAAGTTCCATCATCATTGTCTTTAACTTTTACATCAACTTCATTACCACTTTCATCTGTACAAAAAACTTGAACAAATCCACCTTTAACACCTGAACCTTTGGTATATACTGTAAACTCTGCTGGCTTGCCTAAAATAAAATATTATTCTATATAACTATTTTATTGTATAATTATTATTCAAGCAAACAAATGAAGTTAACTAAAAAAACAAAAGCAAAAAAACGACAGAAAAGAAATAACAAATGAAGGGCTATAGAAAGATGAATAAAATCTGGAATTAAGAATAGAACACTGGAACAGAATTTGGAATTTTAAATAGTGGAATAAAATATAAAATTTGGATATATCTAGAATTCGAAATAAAACACTGGAATAGAATTTGACATTTAGAGTTGAACACTACTGAAACAGAATTCAAAATAGAACACTAAAATAGAATCGTTTATCATTCAAAACTTATTTAACTAATATCACTTTAGTTAATTTGATTGTTATTTTTATTATTATTTTGTATTTAATATGAAAAGTATTGCCTTAAATGAAAAACTTATAAATTTATAGGTAGAATATTAATGCTTAGTAAAAAGTTAAAACAGTACAAAAACTTAAATAAAATATCTATAGATATCAAAATTTAAAAATGTAAAACTTACCAGCCATGTTTCCTTCTTTTAATCCAGGTCCATCTGCATAAACTTTACTTATATCTCCACGTGGGCTAATCATTGCAGTAAATGGTGAGTCTTTTATATCTATTTCATCATACATAACATGAATGATGTATTTACCCGGTGCAGTTGGATAGTAATATACCTTAGCTGCCCCATCTGCATCTTCAATAATTTCAACTTTAGCTTGGCCAGGTCCTTCAACTCCAACTGTGAGATTTGCTATTGGTGCACCCTTACAACTAACAAAAAACTCAGCAGGTCGACCAGCAACACCCCTTTCTAAACCAGGTCCCCAAGCTTTAATTTTTGATGGGTCTGCTGTAGATCCAACAGAAACTTTGACAGGACACTTTGGTACTACATTATTGTTAAATTTAACTCGAATTGTGTATGTTCCTGCTTTACTTGGTTTATAAGTGCATGTATATGTTCCATCTCCATTATTTTGCAAATCAACTGCTATATCATTTTTTCCTGGGCCTTCAATATTCACATCCAAGTCACCAGCTCCTGCTTCAGTGCAATCAATGACAAATACTGCAGGTTTACCTGTTTTTAGACCTGGTTCTAAACCACTACCATAAATTTTGACACGATCGCTAGCTGGAGTAACATTAACATGATAAGGACTTTTAGCCACTTCTTTTCCACCGTATTTTATAACAATAACATATCTTCCCATTAAAAGTGGTACATATGAGCACTTGTATATGCTATTTGGTAAAGCCTCAATTTTAAGTTCTGTTTTTTTGGCTCCAGTTGGATCTATTACTACAACAGAAAGGTCGCCATTTCCTGCTTCACTAGCATTTACTTCAAATGGAGCATCTTGTCCTACAATTAAACCATGCAGTTCAAGACCTTTACCATATGCAGAAACTTTACTGGAATCGAGATCAGAAGCTACATTGACTCTGAATGGTGACTTAGGGATGTGATGACCTCCAACCCTCACATGAACATCATAAACACCTTTGAAAAAATGTTTTTAAATTATTCGTTTTAAAATCAAAAAACATTTAAAAAAAACTTTTTTCAAATTTCAAAAAAAAATCCAGCTATTAAAACACTTATATTAAATACTTACATTGCAAAAGTTTTTGAAAAAATAATAAATAACTTTTATTTACCAACTTTAGGTGCAATGTACTGACATGAATATGTATTGTCATGATTGTCTTGAACATTACAGTCAATAACTTTTCTACCGGGGCCAAAAACTTGAACATTAATTTTTCCATGTGAAGCACCTGTTGTATTAACAGTAAAATCAGCTGGTTTATTTACTATAACACCATTTTCTTGTAATCCAGGACCATATGCACTACACTTTGAAGCCTCGTTCATTTTTCTCTTCAAAGGAGCACCAGGCTTTAATTTTGCTTCTGGAAAGTATGACACATAAGTCATCACAGAGAGTTCGTCAACATTGTTGTTGGTAATTTCTTCAGGTGTTATAACCTAAAATTTCAAAACTTTTTTGTAAATTTTAGAAAAAACTTTTAATTATGTATATAATTTTATATTTACATATTATTGCATAAATAGCTATTGTATAATTAAATAAATTATAATAATAACATAATATCAACCCTCGGAATTAGGAAAAATGATATATATATATATATATATATATATATATATATATATATATATATATATATATATATATATATATATATAAAATATATTTATCACACACAGACGCACACACAGAAATATAAAAGTTAGCTTGTAGATAAATACAAACTTTGAACTAAATAACAAACCTGTGGTACTCCTAACCAGTCTTCAGCTAACTTCATGGCTTCTTTTGCATTTTCTAAAGCATTTTTTGGGTCTAAATCATCCCATGACGGAAACAGACCAGGTGCAATAGCTTCAACAAGAGCTGCAACGGCAATACCATTACACCAATCTTTGTTAAAGTTATTTATTGGGACCTATACAAAATAAAAAACTAAATCAAAAGCTAATTAAATTTTGATCTATTTTGGAAACAAATTTGTCTTTATACACACAGCTGTGATTGTAAAAAGTCAAGCTGGTCATCTAAACCAGCTTGATAATAAATTGTTTTTCAAAATTTCAAAAATTTCCAGGCAAGTAATTTTCAAATAACTTCTTTGTAAAAAGTAAAATGTAAAGAAATTTAAAAAGTTGTAAACTATTTTTTGCGTTTTAACTTTTTAATATTTTTTTAATTACCGCTAGTTAGTTGTTTTTTTTAATTCAAATTAATTGGTGATTTGGCTAATAAAAAGAAAAAAATCAATAAAGCCTCTTTTATATGAATTAGACCACTCAATAAAACAATTTAAACAATGCACTAGCAAACCTTTTACACCTAATCCATTTAAACAAAATATTTACCTCAGCAGGTAACTTGCTTTTAACCCAACCCATAAGGGCTTGTTTTGGGGTAATTCGTTCTACTTGACCACCTTCAGTATCTCCTTCATCATCCATCATTGGCAAACTGATTTGGTATTTTAGAATTAATGTCCATATCAAGCCCAATATCAATTTCAAGTTTCCACTTACTATGTGTGAAGAATCTATGAAAAAAAAAATATATACATTCATTTATATTGGGCATGTATACAGAGTATATTTGAACCGTCAACTTTTTAGTACAACTTTCAGTTCAGAATCATTCAGAACATATATGAACTACAATCATTAGGTTTTATAACATAATCCAATCTTGATTATCTCATATTTTTACAAAACTCTGAAACTTGTAAAAAATCATAAAACATTAATTTTTTTTTTAAGCATTGATTAAGATAAAATTGGTTAAAAAATAATTTTTGGTCATAATTAAAAAAGTCAAAATTAAAAAAATTAATTAGTTATAAATAATTTTTTTTTGGCAAAATTTGAATGAAGTGGTAATTAGTAAAAATTAAGGGGAAAAAAAAATTTTATTTATTTATTTTTCAAACAAATATTGATTTTGTAAAGCAATATTTGTTTGAAAAAAGTGCATATAACGCAACACTTTAATTTGCAAAATAAAAAATAATAATAAAAAGATAAATAATAAAAAAAGCTAAAACCACTGCAAATGTATTTTTTCTATTTTCTCACAAAAAAAAAGATCTTCTATATAGTATTATGCCATAATTTTACATATAATGTTTACTAACTATAAAAACTTTTTCGTTTTTGAAATACCTTGTTAAAAAATATATATACTTTATTATGCCCAAAATGATTGTTTATCTTTACTAGATTAAAAAATATCACCCAAATATCACAGTTTAAAACTCAATTTGAAATTAAAAGTTCATAACATAATACTTTTAGGTGCTGTTGCAAACAAAGCATAAATATTAAATGAGTTAATAAATTAAAGCTAAAATATTTTTTAGTTTCAGCAAACTAATAGTTTCCAGATTGTGCAATTTCAGAGCACAACAAAAAACATTTTTAATTTGTTATTTTTATGAACTTTACTCTCTTATTTATTTTATTTTTTAATAATAATAAAGTTAGAACCTTGAGGTTTTTTGCATCAATTAGTTTGACTCAACTTTTTTCCAACCATATATAGAAAAGTACTATTTAATATGATTTCTTTTACATATTATTCATGTCTTAAGACCACTATTAATAATAAAAAATTGCCACAGGACATGTTTTTTCAAAAGTACCAAACAAGTCAAATTTTATGAAAATTTCCATATATATTAAAATGGGACAAGGAATCTAATGAAATCTGGACTCTTTTTAACATTCATAGATAATTTTTTTAGTTCTCAGCATTTAAAAACTTCAAGATCAATTTATATAGAAAAAACAGTATTTTTTTGAGAGAGCCATATGGAAATGGCAATTACAGCCTTTGCTCAATTTAAAACAGGCATTTATTTTTGTTTTCTTGAAGAAATAATACTTAAAAATTTTGTTTAGAAATTATGAACATAAAGCTTTTATTCCTTCGCATACTGTTTGTTTTGATTTTTGCGCTTGATTTTTGATGTTTTTTAATTTTATTTTGGTGCCATTTCACAACAAATTTTCCATACATAAGGAAAAGGTGTTTTGTCAAAAAACCATCAGTTTTTCCAGCACAAAAAAATGCAATAACTTTGGATCCAATAAACCTCTATAGTTGAAAGCCCCCTCATTTTTTAAGTCATTTTAACCTCTATACAACAATTTTAATCATATATAAATATATTGACAAAAAAAATCCTCAAAGTTATCTAATTCTTGATTGCTTTTTTTTTTGTTTTTGTTTTATTAAGTTTATCAAAACTTAATAAAACAAAAACAACAAAAAAACAACAAAAAAGCAATCAAGAATTAGATAACTTATAAATCACTTCTTTTCATACACACACCAATCAAAATTAAAACTTACCAATATTCACCACTTTGATATCTTCAGATGCAATGAAATTTAATGCAATGGTTATATTTTCTAATTTGTGTGATTTAAAAGTTGGCCTTTTGTTATACTTCTCAATTTTTTTATGAGATAAAACTTGCAAAAGAGCAATCAACTTCAAGCCATCACTTAGGTCAGTTTCCAGATTGTAAATATATAAGTTGACACATTTTAAGTGCTCATTGCACCATCTTGTGAAAGTATTTTGTTGGATTTTTTTCCATTCTGCGTCCTGTGCAGTTGGATCATCGGGCACTTTAAGATCATATTCCTAAATGGAAACATAAAATGAATAATTATTACTGCGGAAAAACGAACTTCTTTAATATAACTTCGTAAAAATTTCACATATAATTTCAATCTTTTTAAAAGTCCAATGTTGGAAACGTAAATTGTTAGTTGTTAAAAGTTAAGATCGTACATCGGAAATCATCTTGAAAATCCTCTAAAGCATCTGTGTGTTAAAGATTTATGTACTTATTATTGATAGCTACTACTAAATTAGTACGTTAGCAAATCATGCAACCTTCCCACATTAACAGAAATAACTAGAGAATAAACTGATTAAAAACATCATGCATAATTTATACAGAATATTTAAAGGCGTGTTTGTCTAGGCTTTTGTTGTTTTAAAAACTAACCTGGGTAGCCATGTTAGCTAATCCAAAAATTATTCGCAACCAAGTCGCATCTAGCGGAATGATATTTTTCTATTGATTTGAAAACGTATTGTTTTAAGTGCAACGGTTTAAGCTTCTACCCTTTTATGGTATTAAATGTTTACGAAGTTGCATAAATTAAATCGCCCTTTTTTATATAATTCCCTAATCGATTCCTTTAAGGTACTAAATGCGTCAATCATTTTTAAATGTATCAAATTACTTCTCGTGATTATTCAACGTTAAAAATGTGGACGCATAAAACATGTAAAAAAAAAAAAAAAGAATTGTTATTGAAACTTTAATAGTCGATATTTAAAAAAAAAAACAATTCAAAAATTTTATCAGTGTTCAATTCAAATATAAAATTTTAATTCTAATTTAGAATAATTTTATTACTATTTAAACTATTATTAAAAACAACAACATGTTTTTAAGATTTAGCTTTTTGTTCGTTGTTACTTTTAATTTTATTTTTTGCTTTTAAAATAGAATTAATTATTATCGATTTAAAATTTATCTTTTAACTCATAATTTATGATTACTTTGACGCTATTCAGAATCGTTGGCGTGAAAACTTTCATATTTGTGTTAATGTTCATATTGAAATTAAAATTATTTTCTTTACACGTAGACGAATAAATAATGCTTTTAGCCTTCGCTTAGACGAAAAAGTAGTGCTCTTAGGTAAACAAAACAATTTTTTTATTATTATAACTTTAAATCTTGTTTACTTTCATTTCGGTTTAAAACAAAACGAAAAAGTAGAGTTCGACTCTATAGCACTGATAAAGTTTCGTCATTTTAAACAGTAAAATAAATGTAGAAAAAAAGACTTGGTATAAATAGAAGACATGTTTTTTTTTTAGTGTTATCCATTGTCATGGTTTTTTAATTACATCTACTTAAGAATATTAGAGTCATATCTATTTAGAATGTACTGTAATTTTGATTCAATATAAAATTAAAATCTATGAATAGGTTTAACAAATTCTAAAATTAATTAGATTGATTATGATAATCAAATTTGAACAATTTGGAAAAAAAAAATTTGTATAAAACTTTCATAACGTTATGTATGTATATACGAAATATATTAGCAATAAAAGTAAAGCATGGGCGCAAAAAAAAAAAAAAAAGAATTCAGGGCATTTTGTTTTTTTTTTGTTTTGTTTATAAATGATCTTAAGTTTCTTTACTAATCGTTGATGATCTAAAAACTATTATGTTAAGAAAATAGCTATTTTTTAAAAAAAAAAAAACGTAACAAGTTTATAAGCTGAAATAAATGACAAATATATTTATTGATATTAGTTTAACAGAATCATAATAAATCGCGGAAGCTAGTTTATCAAAAACAAGTGAATTTTTTCATATTTACTTATTTTAATTTAAACTTATTATCTGAAATATAAAACATATTTCAGATAATAAGTTTGTTATGACAATACTTGCTGGGCTAATAATGCGAATAAAAAAAGTTCTTATTTAAAGATTTTTTCCTGTAAACAAAATAAAATTAAGAAGAATATTAAAGAACATATTGAACTTTAAAACTTTTTTTACTCATGGGTTGATTAGTAGTAAGCAGGGCCGTCCTGAAATAGTAAGCAGCACCGTCCTGAAGAAATTTTCAAGAGGTAGGAGGTATACATTCTTACACCCCTTTTTTCAGGGACAGCTCTTGTAATGGGATAGAGTGGGAAGAAATAAAAAGCCTAAAAAACGGATCATGTCTGATTATTAAAAAAAGTCTTTTAATACTGACAATTAGTTTTGAATATTTTCAAAGCCATTCAACATCCTTTTTTAAATAGATAAATGGATAAACTATAAAATGGGTGAACATTTTTTAAAACAAACTACATTAGAGCATTCAGAAAAGTTAATTAACTAATGGCCAAGCATGATAAAATTCTTTTAAATTAAATTTAAGATACAAAAACATTTCTGCATTATACATAGTGTGGGAAAAATTTACTATAAAAAATCGAACATTTTTATAAAGTCATTAGATTTCAAAAGGAAATGATTGAAATGGTTTAAAATCATAAAATTTATAACGACAAAGAAAATAACAAACTTATTGTTAATTAGATTAATCATAAATTAAAAAAGAAAATTATATAAAAACATAATGAAAGTATGTAGATATTAATTAAAATACATAAAAAAGCTATTTTGACTATAAAATGAAGTATTATGTTTAAATACATTTTAATAAATAAAGTTAATTTTAACTTTATTTATAACTCAGAAAATACATATTTGTTTCCATTTTAGTAACATAAAAATATATAATGAGAGATAAAAACACATTTAGTAACATTAAAATATATAATAACAATAAAATTGCTTTTGTAATGCACAACGTTTTTATAAAGGAAATCCTGATGGGGAAAAAATACCATTTTTAAATAACTACAATAAACTAGCAGTAGACCAATAAGAGAGGTCAGCAATTTGCTAATAAACTAGCAGTAGACCAATAAGAGAGGTCAGCAATTTGCTAATAAACTAGCAGTAGACCAATAAGAGAGGTCAGCAAATTGCTAAATATCATTTGTACAAGCATTTCTGTTAATCATGTTGATCAAAATGCCACTTAATTTTTGACCTGTTACTTATAAACCATTACTTTGCCATCATTTGGTCCTAATAAGACGTCTTTCGTACGTTCAAAAGACTTTCTGAACATCTTTTAAATATATTCAATCTTTTTAGGACCAAATGCCGGCAGTGCTATAATTAATCACATATTAAACCGCTTGAAACTGAATCTTCATATGTATTACTAACATTCAAAAAAAAAAAAGCCTAAAAGTTGTATATTTTGTATTGAATATAATGGCAATTTTTTTACTAACAAAATTTCCTTCTCTTCCATCCCCCTACCCCCTTCTGTCTCTCTATTTCTCTACTCTCTCTCTCTCTCTCTCTCTCTCTCTCTCTCTCTCTCTCTCTCTCTCTCTCTCTCTCTTTCTCTCTCTCTCTCTTTTATATGGCTTGCGTACATTTTTTCTTTACGCGAAAAAATGTGTGATACATTCCCAGTGGGCACCCGACGTCAATCCGACGTCGGATTTACGTTTGATTTTCATCAGCGATGTCAAAAGACCTATTCCGACGTTGTTCCGATGCCAGTAAAATGACGTCGGGCGATGTCTTTATCTCAACATCCCCTGACGTCGTTTCGATGTATTTTGACGTTGTTCCGACATCTTATAAAAGACGTCCAAAAAACGTAGCAGTACTGACATCGATCCAACGTCGATAAAAAGACGTCGGGCAACGTCATAATATTAACGTACTCCGATGTCTTTTGACGTCTTCCGACGTCAATCCAACGTCCTTAAAACGACGTCGGAACAACGTCGTAAGACATCGCTAATGAAAATTTAATCCAAACCCACCAATATGTGTGCAATTGCGCTCTTCAATAATTATGTGAACTAAGCGTGTTTTTTTATTAATGGAAAAAAGTTTGAATAAAGGTTGATAAAACATCATGAGGTTTTGTATGATGCACTAACATAGTTTTTTAACTATTAACATTTTCGAGTATACATTTTTTATAATATATAACTATTCGTTTTAATATTTATATAATATTTAAACACAATTATTTCTTATTAAAGTAATAATTCCCAAATAGCTAGAAGTATAAATTACTAAATAAACTCATCAAATTATATGTCCTTGTGGTGTAGTGGTAAGCGCATAGAATTTAGTAACTAATAGACCGAGGTTCGATTCCTGCTAAAGGCAGTGTTTTTTAGTTTTCAAAAAATACGTTGGATTTACATCGGAATGCCGACGTCGCGCGATGTCAGTTTATCCGACGTCAAATAACATTTCCATTTCCAACGTAAACCCAACGTCGATCCGACGTCGAGATCCGACGTCGCTCGACGTTCGTTCGACGTCGAAATGCCCACTGGGTTAAACCTTTAAAATCTGCAACAGCAAGTCTTTATTATTATAATACTTTAATTTCTTTTCCATTATTTACTGGATAGTAATCTTTTCATAAATTTACAAGTAATCAATAAATTAAAAGAAGCAGAAATAATCCAAGCTTTTAAATATGCATAATTAAAAGTTTTAATTAAAAATAGATTTAACAAAAAAAAAAAAAAAGTAAATTTTTATTATTTATTCCTTTAGTTAGATATTAGAAACATTTATTATTGTACAGTCGGTGCGTTTAATACCAGGTTACACATATTTTGATGCAGTATTTTTCATATTTAGTTTTAGGAGTAAAAACAAATTGTTCAGATCATAAGTTTATGAATTTTTTACGAACTATAAACTACTATATGGTTTGGAGTAATCAAGTTATTAAGTAATCAAGTCGATACAGAATAAAAAATTTCTATCACTTTGATTTAACACAATTACTAATAATGTCTACAACTGATAGAGATTAACAACAACAATAATAATAAGTACTTTATTATTGTTGTTATTGTTATTTTCAATGACCGATCCATCTTTTTTTGGTGTTTGAGATGGATAACTTCCAGAAATGGAGCAAACTCTAAACATTAGTATGTTTATACATATGTCAAAAAATGATACTTTGCAAAAAATTGCAATGGTTGGAAGC